GTTTTGTGGACTTCAAACACTACAATGCCCATTTGATTAATTACTCGCCAGGTGGTCGGCACAGCTGTATGGGGGCTCCCATTACTGGGAGCAAATTCATAAGTAAATAGATTTACCCAGAGTAACATGATTATCATTTTTCTTTGACCAGTCTTATCTTTAGGGGGTTGGGTGTCCGGGTCAGCCGCCATCTCTCTTTGCCGAGTAGTTCCCTGTGTTCTGGGTTCGTGGCCTTGACGTGTGAAGCGTGGACCCAAGTAGCGATGCCGTCTACCTTGAGCGCGGTAGGGGTTGTCAGCAGGACGGTGTAAGGTCCTTTCCAGCGGGGCTCAAGATTCCGTGTCTGGTGTCTTCTCACCCAGACAGTGTCGCCAGGCTGGAACGGGTGGGGGGCAATAGGGGTGTCAGAGGAGTCTTTGTAAGCTGCTGCTATAGGTTTCCAAATTTCTTCATGAGCTAACTGCAAGGCCTTTAAGTGGGCCTGCAAGGAAGGAGAACTTGCAAAGTTAGATACATCAGAGTCTAGAAAGGCTACTGCGGGGGGAGGGGTTCCATAAAGAATTTCAAAGGGGGTGAGCCCAAAGGGGCCCGGGGTATTCCTGGCCCGATATAGGGCCAGGGGTAAGAGGTCCACCCAATCCTTTGTGCCAGTTGCAAGTGAAAATTTAGTCAATGCCTCCTTTATTGTCCTATTCATTCTTTCTACCTGTCCTGAGCTCTGGGGTCTATAAGCACAATGCAACTTCCAATTAATCCCCAATAGTCTGGCCACCATCTGACTTACTTGGGAGACGAAGGCGGGCCCATTGTCAGATCCTATTACCTTAGGCATCCCATAGCGGGGAAAAATTTCTTCTAACAGTTTCTTCGTCACAGTTTTTGCAGTTTCAGTTTTAGTGGGGAAAGCTTCGGGCCAACCCGAGAAGGTATCTATGAAAACTAGTAAATATTTATACCCATATCTCCCAGGTTTGACTTCAGTAAAATCCACTTCCCAGTGTACACCCAGGCGGTGGCCCCTTTCCCTGGATCCCGTTCCCATTTTACCTTTGTGGGAATTGACCAAGGCACAGGCTCAGCACCTGCTAGCTATTTCTTGTAGGATGGCGTCTCTTTGTGAGAGATAACATAGGGCTTTTTCTCTTTTTAGTAACGTCTTTAGTTTTGATGGGCTCCGATGAGTCCGCTTGTGAAGTTGATCAAGGAGTTCTCGTACCTCTCTCATGGGAGGAACCAATTTCCCCTGGTATTCCCAGCATCGATTCTCCTCGTCATAGGTGGCTCCCATCTCCCGGTAGAGCTTTCGATCTTCTTCTGAATAATCATTTTCTCTAGCCTTTCTGTCCCGACTCGAATGGGCTACCAATACAAGTGTCTGTTCCTCAGTGGCGGCCTCTCTTGCCGCTTGGTCAGCCAGGTGGTTTCCTCTTGCCACAGGATCTTCTCCTTTTTGGTGGCCCAGACAGTGCATGATGCTGAGTCTTTTGGGGAGAAATATAGCTTCTAACAGAGTTATAATTTCATTTTTGTTTTTGATTTCTTTTCCTGCAGAGGTGAGGAGCCCCCTTCTCCTGTATATCTCTCCATGTATGTGGGCGGTGGCGAAGGCATACCGACTGTCAGTGTAAACATTAAGTCTTTTTCCTTCTGCCAACTTTAGAGCTTGGACAAGGGCAACTAGCTCTGCTCTTTGAGCTGAGGTTCCTTCTGGCAGAGCCCGGGCCCATATTACCTCAGAGTCCGTGGTCACTGCAGCTCCAGCAAGGCGGCGCCCATCGGAGAGGAAACTGCTACTGTCTGTAAACCACGTGTGGTCGGTTTCTTTCAGGGGTTGATCACTCAAGTCTGGTCGGGTGTTCAGTACTTCTGCTAAGATCTGTTGGCAATCATGTCCGTCGCTCTCCCCGGGCAGAGGCAGGAGGGTGGCCGGATTTAGGCTGACCGGGGACCCGAACTGGATACGGTCCACGTCCAGTAGCAGGGATTGATAGTGGGTCAGCTGGGCGTTAGACAGCCATCGATCGGGTGGTTGGCGAACAAGCGACTCGACTGCATGAGGTGCTCGGACCACCAGGGGCTGTCCCAAGGTTAACTTGTTGGCGTCCTTGACCAGGATTGCTAGGGCGGCTACCACTCGAAGACAGGGTGGCCACCCGGCTGCCACTGGGTCTAGCTTTTTATAAAAGTATGCTATTGGACGCCTCCAGGGCCCTAGTTTTTGTGTAAGGACCCCTTTAGCATATCCTTGCTTTTCATCAAGGAAGAGTTCAAATGGTTTAGTCAAATCTGGCAATCCTAGGGCCGGAGACTCGAGGAGGGCTAGCTTGATACTTTCAAACGCCAACTGCTGCTGCTCTCCCCATATGAAATTGCTGTCTGATTTGGTCAGGGGATATAGCGGGGCTGCTTTCTCGGAGAAATTGGGAATCCATAGTCTGCAGAATCCGGCTGTTCCCAGAAACTCCCTTACTTGCCTACGGTCCCGAGGGACTGGGATACTGGAGATGGCCTCCTTACGGGCCTGGGTTAGCCATCGTTGCCCCTCTCTGAGCCTATACCCCAGATAAGTCACTTCCTGTTGGCAGACCTGGGCTTTCTTTGCTGAGGCTCTGTACCCGAGTTTTCCCAATTCCTGGAGGAGGTGCTCCGTACCTGTTAGACACTCCTCTCTTGTAAGAGCGGCGAGCAGGATGTCATCTACGTACTGTAGTAGGACCAAGTTGGTGTGCTGGGCCCTGAAGGTGGTCAAATCGTGGTGGAGGGCCTCGTCAAACAGGGTTGGGCTGTTTTTAAATGGTCAAGGGAAAGGCAGCTTCTATCTCGTTGGGCAGCTGGGTAGGTCTCCCATCCGCCCCAGGAACCTGCTTGCGGGCTTCCAGAATAACCCTCTGTTTTTCTTCTGTCGTGAGGAGAACTTGGAGAAGCTGCTGGCAATCATCCCAGGTGGGCTGGTGGGTTAGAAGAATAGACTCTAGGAGGTTAGTTAGGGCCACAGGGTCTTGGGAGAAGGGCGGGTTATGTTGCTTCCAATTATAAAGGTCAGAGGCAGAAAAGGGCCAGTACTGGAGTTGGTTGCCTGGCCCTGGTCCCACTCAGAGGGGAAGTATGTGAGAAGACTCTCCTCCTTGACCCCGGCGGTCTCTCAGTCTTCCTGCGATCGGGGAGGGCGCCCCAGCGCCCTGGCCTACGTCCGATACTCCCCCGACTGCTTGAGGTTGAATTTCTGGAATCGGGGCCGGAGGTGGGTAAGGTGGAGGGCTGTCTTCAAGGAGATTAGTCAGAGCTGACTCATCGGGGGGAATTACAGACTTAGATTTGAGGAGAACAGGACAGAGGGACACAGAGGGGGAGGGATCTGTTGGCTGAGGTGCCGAGGGCGCCCGAGAGGAGGGTCTAGGGGGCAGGAAAGGGGCAACCCAAGGAGGGGGGTTGTAGGAGAGGCTTTCCCAGGTAACGATGTACGGGATCTGGTCTGGGTGTCCGTAGGGTCCCGATCTGAAAACCTGCATTTTAACCTGAGAGATAATATTTGGGTCAAAAGTGCCATCTCGTGGCCACCCGACGTCAAAGGTGGGCCACTCAGATGAACAGAAAGCAATCCATTTGTTCTTCTTGACTTCCACCGACTGGTTGGAGGCTCTAGTCTTTACCTCGCGCCAATGATCTAGAGTTAGACTAAGAGGGGTAGTTAATTCCTGTCCCATGGCGAGGGGAGACGAGTATACAATAATACAGATAAGCATGAGACAAAACAAAGAAAAACAGCCGGCACACAGAAACCCTGCCCCCCCTCGCCTGGGGAGCCAGACCGAGGGTCTGAAACCAGATGGAGGAGGCACCTCTTCCCCTCCGTACAGATGGACAAATCCCTCGGAAACGTAGTGGGCCCCGAATAGTCGGGCTCCCATACGGTCGCCGAGGAAAGTCGTCCCCGAGCCCCACACAGCGGGCTCCCAGAGCCCCTCGGGCATCCCCGAGGGTGGCAGATAGACTCCTCAGACTCGTCAGTCTTGTCCAGAGTCGCCCAGAATCAGGCCGTGAGTCTCACGCAGAAAAAGAAACCACAAGAATACAGAAACACAGAACAAGGCCCACACTCTCCTGGCCGGCCAACTCACCTCCCCACGGACTTGGGTTGTCCCCAGCGTTGCGCTGCGGGATCTCGGTGGGACCTCCAAATGAAGAATCGCACTCAACACACAGGGACAAAACCAAGTTTCGGGATGCAAAAGCAAGAGGAATTTATTCATACACAGGCGCCTGCGGACGCAGAGTCCCGCTCGGGTCAGGACTTGCGTGCCGGGCTTAGCTTGGGAGGGCCTTTTATAGAGCAGAAGCAGGGTACAGAAGCAGATGCATGGTTACAAGGTTATCATTGGTGCATTTCAAGGGGTACAAGGTATGAGGAAACAGTATTGCTAAATTCAGAGGGGGCTGTGGGTGAAACCGATTGTTATCGCTAACTTCCCAGTAGGGGCTTCAGGGTGGTGCCAGGAGGTCCGACCATAAACGTCCTTTTTTTCACTGCTGGTTTCACAAGACCTGGGTTTGAACTTTGGCTCACCATATGGCTGACTGCAGTTCTTTCTCTAAAATGGCCTTCCTGCTGTCAGTTGGGTCTTTCACTAGCAGTCTCAAGTGAGCGCTTGAATAGGAAGAGAGAGACGGCAGTGCTGTCTTCTCTCTTTGAAACATAAAAGGTAGAGGCTGCAAGGAGAATGCTGATGGTGACAGATGTAAGAAGTTTATTATATATCACAGAGATCCAGATTAGGAAAAGCTTTCTAAATCCAATTTTTCTGCTTAAAGCAGAAAGAAAATAATGCCATCTTGGCATGGCACTGGTCTCACAGAACAACTCTCTGACAGGATGTCTGGAGGCTGTTTGGAAGCCCTACTGTGGTGGCAAGTAGATGGGGGTTTGAGGCTGTTATCACACCACCTTATCTCTCACACTTAAAAGGAATGTGATTAGAGTGAAGTTGGGTAGGAAACTGCTTTGTTGAAGCAAGTTTCAGGGTAAGGTGACCAAGAAGACCTGGGAATCCTATAGGATGAGGAGAGCAGAGGGCAGCATACAGGATGAAAGTGACCCCGACTTTGAAAGGCTAACAACACCCACACTCTTCCTCTCTGAATTTCTCCTTCAATGTAACATTAAATTGGGTGTCAGATGTCAAAGTGGTTATCAAGATCAACTGCAAGCTCAGACAAATGCTTTTTAAAGCTCTGCTTCCCACATGCACAAATTAATCATTGCATCTGCCTGATTGATAACTTTGCTCCTTCTCTAAGTCTGAAAATAAAATCAGGCAGGACTCTGGAAAGATGGCTAAGCATGGAAAGTACAAGAAAATCCTTCCTTACATATATCTTAAAGTATTTGTTAAACCTTATAAAAGGCAGGTAGCTGATAGGTAAAAAGTTGGGGAAAACGAGCAAATGGAGGATGAGGCACCGAGGCACAGCTAAAACTCCATCAAAATAGGGTTTATTAGCAAAGGAACACGGCACAGATTCCCTTCTGGGCAGGGAAAATGTCTGCCCGGGTCTTGAGCTGGGGTCTTTTTAAAAGGGAGGCTTCTGCTTCCTGCAGAAGGCAGGAAGATGTATTTTTTTTTAAGTTGAGGCGGGAGTGGGAGAGCAGGACTGTTAAAACCTGTCCTCTTTAGAGATCAAAGGGGAAGCCTGCTGTGTTGGCCAAACAGTGGAGAAAAGTCTGCTTCTCTTGACTTCAAAGACCAAGGTGCTTATCAGCTAGGTTCCCTTTTCTCAGGAGCATGAGAAGTCCTTGGGATCCTGTTGGTGAGGGGGCAGGGCTATCTGAACCTTAACATTCCAACCTTTTGTGTTATAGGATAGGTGGTGCTGTTGTCGTCTTGCTACTTCCTTCTGGACAGGGTCGACATGGGGGTGGGGTTGGCTGGATTAGGAGTCCACTAGGCAGCAGGGGTTGTCTCTCAGTGCATCTGAACAGGATCCTCGATGGTTGACAGGTGCTCATATACATGTGAAGGGAAGGAAAGTAACAACCGATTAAAA